GCATAATTATATTGCTTGAAGGTAATTGATTCTTGTTAGAGATATAGTTATGTATATTTTTTTCCTAGTATGTTTACACTCATTAAAACGTTGAGAAAAACATTAAAAGATTGAGAAGGTAATAGCAGAGGTACAGAGAAATGGAAGAAGGAAGAAGAGATTGGCTATGAATATAAGTAAAGACATTAATAAAAAACATTGCATGCGTTTGCACAGATTTAAAACTTTACTCAACGGACGTAATGAGTGAAGTTTTGATAGTCTTTGTTGTCCCACTAGCTGGTAGCTATACCGATATAAGGTTATGATGATATCGAGGTTTATGATTTTTTGTCTAAATTATTGCCGGCAGGACATTTTTAAGTTCTCTGAGAATGCGACTGTCATTAAGCCTATTAAGATATTCTAATGCATTAAAAGACCTATGTTTTAACGCATGAGACTTTCTTGATGCAAATCAGTATTCTCCGCCTTCGAAAGTATAACAAAAAAAATACCTTCGCACTCATTGGTTTTCTGTCCTTTAATGCGCTCGAATGCATTTTTTGCTGCAAATTACAAGTTTAACATCTTCTAGGAAGTTTTTGATCCAACGAGATCAGGGCTCGATCGGATTTCTAACGCGTTTACATGCGTTATGAACATAAAATTAAATTCTCTCAGTATGTGCTTGGATGACTTGTACATTTGACAAAGTGTAATTGATTAGATTCCGTTACTAATTTTGCAGGATCCCTAAAGAATGTCAATTTATTCGTTGAGCAAAACGGTTGTTTCTTACTGTCATCAAAAACACTGTGGTTGGCCGAAGTTTCTTATTATAATGGAAAGATTTAACGATATATCAAACATGAATTATTAAAAACTACAATGGAAGCGTCAAATAACGGGTAAATACTAACAACATTAAAAGTATAAAAAAACAGGTTAAAAAAACCTGTCCGCTGTACTCTCTTATAAAAGACGCCCTGCAGAATATTCTAAGGATTCAAAAATTGAGTTCCATTCCTCAACCTTTAAAAGATTCGGTAGAAGATAAAGTTCTGTGCGGAACTGTTTTACTGTATTGCTATGGATGGTCTATGCACTATCTGCATCGATTTTTACTCTTGAAAAGTCCTGTATGGCATCTTTTTGTTAGAGAGTGCCGCATTCCTTTGGATGTATTAACTATTTGTTTTTGTCTAATTACTTGTCAATAATAATAGTGACGATGTCCGGTTTGTAATATGCACGTGTATGAAGGGACTTCGTATTCATTAACATATCGTACAACTTTACTAGCAGTTATTTGAATATAATAATCAAGTGGTACCATATAGCTGTTTACATAGAGTAATCGACCATTTTGCTTAATTTGTACGTTAACGACTAAAGGAGAATTTAATCTGTAAAACCAGTCATTGTATGCGCGGGAGTCATCATAAAGAATATAAAATCGAATTGGAAATTGTTGACCGGGTTGGAGATACATTACATTTTTACTAATTGGGCGGTCAGGACGACTCATATCATCAATAGTGAATGTAAGAATTTCATTACCACGGAATATATGAGTCTTATCATGTGATACAACTTCAACATGGATCATTTTCAGTTGAGGTCTATACATTGTCCAGTACGCTGTAGTTATGATTGATTATCTTTCAGCTCATTTACCTTGAATCTATTTACTGTGGTCGTTTTCATTAAATAAATACCCATAATCATATCTCTAATAAAAATCAATTACACATCTGTCTACCTTGAAGAAATATAATTATGCGTGTTAACGATAAAAAATAGAAACTATTTTCAAACGTAAACACATGCTTTGACAGTGAACGGCTCTTGTATATGAACGGGTTTTTTCACAATCATCTGTCCACAGAATTCGACTGCACAAAACATTTCTGCAAAATTGACAAAGCATGGAGCAGTCATGTTCTTAGTTTCCCATGTTTTTTAGTGGCAAATCATTTAAATCGGCGTGATAGAAATATTAGCATGGCATGGTTATAATTTTTTTGTTCTTTCTTGCGTACTTCAGATTTGTTTTAGTTTTTTGTTTGGGTACAATAATAATGCCGCTAAAATACTTTAGATAAAACATTCTATAGCACCTCTGAGCGTTTTACCGTCGTCAAAGAATCTAGTCCATAGAAAATCCTCTCTGAATATGAGATAGAATCATAAATATCCAACTCAAAGCGCCAACGGATGCTCGTAGCTTCGATTTCGCTCATTACCATCATCCACGTGGCCTAGTCAGAAGCAGGTGAGTAAGCAAGGGCATCTTAGAATGTATGCTTCATCGTTAATTGAGTTTCAAAATTCTACTTTTTAACAGCAGTTCTATTCAGTATATGCACAAGAGCTTTAAGAATTTTTCGAAAATTCTAAAAGTCCAAGATAATTTCTAGAATTTTGCAAGAATTCTAATAATTCTACGAAATTCTTTTTGGTAGACGACAGTATTAGACTTAAAGACATGTGTCGATCCAATTTGCCTCATCCGTAAGACCTTTTAGACTATTTTGGTATAACATGCAGATAGGTCAAATACACGCCATCTTATAATTCAAATAGGGCGTTTTTCAAAAACTTTGGCTCCAGACTGGCCTTCTGTTATGGGAGGGAATTTACAATATCGACTTCGACGTCAATCTCACGACACTCCTGTATAAAATGCTTTTCGACGAACCGTGAGCTAGCCAATAATAAATATTTGTATTTATGATAAAAATAGATTATTAAGATGAGTCGACTGTGATTTTTTGGGGATAACTGGTATTCGAACAATATTGAATTCAAACAAAATATGTTGAATAGTAATTGTCGTCCGAGAATGATGTTCTTATAAGCTTTATTGAAAAGAAAAAAAAAGAAAAAAAGTTAGAAAAGATCAGTACAATAATGAGGAGAAGGAGGCGAACCCACTGTATCTTTACATCATTGACTGCGGACAAAGGACAGGACAAGAAATACATATAAAAACAAGTGACAAGGACAACATGAAAAAGACAAGTACAGAGAAAATAAAGACAAAAAACAAAGAATACAAAAAACGAAGTGTTAGGAGTTCGTAACGAACGTGACGATGGAAGTTCGTTTTTGAAAAGTCGTGACGAAATGATACCGAGTCATCAAATCTAATTTTACGTTACATGTACAATTTCATTATACTTATAATGCCAGTATGAGGTATTTTTGATTCATTTTCAATGTCATCATCAGAATTACTAAAGTAAGAAGAAACATATTATTCAAATATAAAATCAGTCTAATAAGTGCGAATCATATTTTAAAATGGATGTCATATTTAGCATAC